CAGCTTTTTGCACATTCCATTGTAATACTTTTGTCTTCTTGAACTGCCCTTTGAACTCTTATTCATCTCTTTGACATCAGCATCTTTCCCTTGTTTTGGCTTCTGGACGTTCTGGTCCAATTTTCAATCTCTTTGGTTCCTTTATTCTTTGTAACCATTTTTATACTCTTCATAGATGATACCTTTGACAACTCATCAGGCCTCCCATCATTAGAGTTCAAGCCTATTGAGATGATTGTTAAAGTCAAGTGAAATAGACCCAAGGTCCTACTTTGGTTTTTGTGGACCTGTTGTTGTACTGTTGGCCCTAATTGTGCTCTCTGGAATCACCTCACCTGTTCCCATGTAGGAACAAAGTTACACATGTCAGATTCTCCTGGTTCGTCAATGACCTCTAACATCAATTGTAGGGAAACATCACAATGTTCTCAGGTGCCTAACAGGAACTTAACAGAAAGTCAGTGTCCCAGTCTTCCTAGGCCTTGACATTTGCCTGGGTTGCTCAGAACCTGGAGTGGTATTCCACCTAAACTTAGAGAATGCCTGAGTACTCAACCAACCTGTAGCCCATCTACCTTTAAAATAATAAATGGGAAACTAAAGACCCAATGTGTGGGACTGACTCCAACTCACAGTGACTCTGTCACCACGTAGTGCCCACTGTTTCCAAGGTTATCATCTTACCACCAGGGACCTCTGGTGGCCAACCCAAAGGTGGGCTGTTCGAATGCATCAACTGCTCCACAGGAAAAAGATGGATAACCTTCTCTTCTAAAACCCTGCTGGGAGGGGTCTAGGCAGTGTTTTAAATCTTTGTAGCATTCTTCCCCTACAGGGTGTCTGGTGGGTTTGAACCCACTCTTTATGTAGCTGTCACCAGCAAGGCTATAAGAACAAGGGAGAAAGGGAAGAGGAAGAGCAAAAAATCTACTAACCGACCCATTCAAATAGCCCGGGAAGAAAAAGGCCAAATCATCAATCACTAGGGACTGTAATTCTAGCTGCAGAGTTGTCAGAGCAAGACTCTTATTTCCTTATTTTTATCAGGAAACTTATGAACTAAAATCTGTGAAACCTGATCTAGCTACTGTGTCTGGTATGTAACGTAATGTTCTCCGGTTTCAGACACACTGACAGTATAACAGGAAAGAAGTCCACAGCTTCTCACAAGCCCATGATTTGATTTATTTTTTATTATTACTTTTTGTGTGTACTGTCAAATTGGATCTGACTAGTACAGGAGGAGACTGCCCCTCCTTCTCCAGCAAAGCATCTGGTGGATTTGAACCACACAGTTCTGGGTTTGCAGTGCAGTTTCTTGCCACTAAGCCACCAGAGCTCAAGATTGTGATTTTAATCAGTTAGGTCAGAGCTAGTGATTTCAAACATTCCTTCAAAACTTTGACAAAATATAGAGCAGTAAACAAATGGTTTCTGTGGATGCTGAGATTGCACTGGGCTCCATCCTTGTATACATCGAATTTTATTTGAGCTGGTTTTAAGGACTGCCTCCTTTTTTCTTTTCTTTCCAACAGAGTCCCTTCCTTAATTCGATACAAATGGAGACAATTCAGTCTCCCTTTCACCCCCATCAATCCTAACTACCCAGTCTTCACACTATCAGGAGGGTTATTGTTCATAACCACACCCATATCTGGGCTCAAACTCTCAGACCCTTTCATTGTTGTCACTTCGGTAATAACTTTTCCTCCAGGAGCTTGACAAGTTTACTCCTGAAGAGGACAGACACCTAGGGTTCCCTCTTTGGAGGCTGGTTTCAATTAATCTGTTCCTGACTGGGTGTTCCAAACTGAACTCAGTGAGTGCTCCAGAGTGAAGCACGACATTGGTACCTTTTCTGGATGTTATGCTGAGAAGCCCGGGAGGTACACATGTTAAGTTCTCAGCAGGTAGAACCCAGCAACCACTGGACATGATAAAGATGTAGCAGTAGACCGTTCCGGAGGGTGGCTATGAACCAGAATTGACTTGAAGGTCAAAGGCTTTGTTTCTAAGGATTATGACACCACTAACACAACTTAGGGAGCTCTGGTAGCCTAGTGGTAAGAAGCTGCACTGCAATCTAGCAATCCAGAAGGCATACAGTTCAAATCTACCAGCTGCTCTGTTGGACGAAGCTGGGCTTATCCTCCCACGTGATTAAGTGCTTCTGAAAACCCAATGGAGTGTCAGCCATGGGCCAGTTCCACCTCGACAGCACAGCACATCACATCTTAAAAACACCTCTCTCATTGGCGCTCACTTCTGGCTCTACTTAGTTTTTCTTTTGTTTTGATAATACCAGAACATTTATTGTAGAACACTGGACTACTTCTTCTTCTTATTTTGTGTGTGTGTAACGTCAAATCAGATCTGATTGATACAGGAGATTGCCCCTCCTCCTCCAGCAGAGCATCTGGTGGATTTGAACCATGTTACCTCTGGGGTTGCAGTGCAACTTCTTGCCACTAGGCCGCCAGAGCTCCCCTAACACTGGAATTCTTAAGATGAAGTGGATGCTGCAGCAGCTGCCCTCTTGGGTTTAGGTGCTGTTCCTTCACAGAAACCATGCCTGCCTGTACGGTGTACGCCCTTGAAGTCCCTCGTACACTCAGGAGCGGTGGCATCTCGCCTTCCAGCCTTGGCACTCCAGTTTTATCTTCCCTTGTGCTTGGCAAGGGAGCCACACTTGCCTCAGGTGTACTTCTGGAGGTGATGGGTCTTAGAGCCACAGAGGCAGCACAACTTGTGCATCTTATTGTGACACTTTCCAAACGATGACGCTCCCTTTGTCATCTCGCTTTTGCTGTCGCGACCCTGGCTCTACTAAGTTTAAGGCTCACTTACCTGCATTTGTCTTTACAATATTTATCTCCTTAGTCCTGGCTAGGTGATTAAGTGAAATCTTGGTTATTATACCAGATGTAATGGTTAATCCTTCTAGTTTGAGTGATCTAGAAATCTGACAATCAACTTCTCTTTATTTTCATCTAAACTGAAAATTTTGTCTGATGAGACTAAGGCTAGATGTTCTCCTTCCAATCTCTTTGGCAAGTTAGTCCAGTCAGCCATAAATCCCTGGTTAAAACAAAGGTTAAAGACAGCCAATGTTTTGATAAAGTCAATATACCAAATTGGCACATTCCTGATAGAAAAGGCTTATCAAAGTCAACCTTATCAAAAAAATGGTAAGGCATAATGTAATGGCACTTGCTGAGTTCTTGCTGGAGATCCAAATTTCATCACTTATTTTAACCAAGTAAAAGTAAAACGTGAAGTAAAAGTACCTAAATCACCTGAGTGCAAATTGTTTTTTCAGACCGAGATCCAATTCACCTTTGGGAGGACACGGCAATTTCTTACTTCCTCGTATCAAGTGAACATATAAGACGACTTGATGCGGGGCTGAAACACATGATTTATAAGATCTTTCTTCTCTTTCTGTCCTTGGAAAGATTCCACCTACAATTTATTTTGCTTCTGCGATATGAACCTTGATAGTCTCAAAAGCACCATGCAAAATAAAAAGCAGCTGAACTGACCTAAGGCAACAGTTCTTCTCTAAGACAAGGCATTACAATAACATGATTTTCACACTTCAGCAACAAACAAAAGTTAACAAAGCGTATAATTTCTGTTTCATTCTTTTCCGATGCTACAAACATAGTTCTGCTTTCACCTTCATCACACTTTCATATGGTTTCAACAGAGGAAACACCTCTTCTTCTAAGAATCTCTGAACCTGCCAAGGAGATAAACAAATGTAAGACAAAAGAAAATGCTAAGGTGACAGCTGATAACATCCTGTCCACTGTCAGTTTGTATCACAGAGACCTAACTTGATAAAGATTTCAGTATCACTGAGTAAACTGTTATCTTCAACGGCCTGTCACCAATCTCTCTATAACAAACAACTCCCCTAGGGAGCCCAGGCGCCAAGCTTTCCTACAACCCAGCCGGCCTGTGCTCTTGTACTTCTCACCAGCCTCCCCTGTCAGCCAAGCAAAAATCATCACTGCTTCACCCCGCCCCTTCCTCTGCAGCCCCATTCAGTCAACAAGTGATTCATGTCCTAAATGTTCTCGAATCTCTCTCCCTGTTTCTCCAGCCTTCGTTCAAAGCCCTCCTCATCTACTGAGAGGCTGAAAGCAGTAGGCTGCTTACTGGTCTTCCTCCCTTCAGTGTGAAGTCTTCCAAATCTAGCATACAGCGCCAGTTTAACCATCTCTTTGCTGATGTGGATGCCTTTTATTTCCTTCTCTTGCCATAGTGCCCTAGCCAGCACTTCCAATACAATACTGAATAGAAGTGGTGACAGTGGGCATCCTCATCTCATCCCTGTTCACAAGGAAAATGCTTTTAAGTCTTTCTCCATTGAGAATAATGTTGGCTCTTGGTTTAGCATATATACTTTTCACTATGTTGAGGAAATTCCCTTCTATTCCAATTTTGCTGAGTGTTTTTATCAGGAAGGAATGTTGTATTTTTCTTGTGTGCTGTAGTCAGATCTGACTGGCACAGGAGGAGACTGCCTATTCTTTTCCAGCAGAGTATCTGGTGGATTTGAACCACACGCCTTTGAGATTGCAGCACTGCTTCGTGCCACTAGGCTACCAGAACTCCCTAGATAAATAATTTATTAATACACATTTCTCTCTTTTCCGAAAAGCCAGGCAGAAGAATATTTGTTGAAACCTATATATATATATATGTATAGACATAGACACAGACACAATCCCAAGCACACACTCGCTTTGTCTGGCCTTTCACTCAATGGAAAAAAAAACAAAACTAGCAAACATACCAACCCCCGAGAGAAATGTTTTTACCCAATCGTCAGCAAATGCCTGGAGACAGGATTGAACCAGACTACCAGGCTGTCAAATGAAATCTTTGTCTGAAATAGCACGCCTTCTCTAGGCTAAGAATTCAGAGAAATCCCCAACTATTTAAGGCAGCTCAAAGCAGCCTCATCCCAGTATTTCACCAGCACTCTGTCCTGACTTGTTCGAGCCATTCCCACCACCTCCTCATGAAGCAGAAACCTCACGTTCATATCCCAGGTCCTGCAGCCCCGCAGTGTGACAAAGCCAGTGGCCGAGAACGTGTTGAGTGATGCTCACCTGCTGAGATGCACGACCAGTGAAAGAAGACGGATCCAGTAAATGATCCAACTGGGAGTGAATGGGACTGAAGTAGGCATCAGCCTGAATGCGCTCTATAAGGTCATTGTCACCCCCTTCCTGCTTGACCACAGCAGCTGCTTGCTGGGAAAGCACTCTAATTTTCTCATGGCAATCCTGAAAGAGAAAGATGCTGCCAGTTTACCACCTACAGAGGGCAAGCTCCTGCGACAGTGATCAGACACTCCACACCCACACTGTCTGCACAGGTGACAGAGGAGTGCCGACAGAGGAGGGCCGACACTGAGTTCAGAGTCACCCACTGGAAACTAGTCTGCTATATGACAGAACATGGTCACTGTTCTGTAGCAATAGCAGGACCGAAGGCATCAACTGAAATGTCTTCCTTCATCCATTCCTCTTCAAGGAGGAGAGAGCAGGACTAAGACGCCCTCTCAGTTTATCCAGGGGCACGAGGAGTTACAAACCTGGCGGCTCCCGCCGGCTTTCACCATGGCCATGATGATGTTCTCTGTGGCCATGAACGGCAGCTCCTGGCGTATGCGCCGCTCAATCACCTGGAAGAGGGGGCAACATGAGGGCCTGAAGCACGCCCCAGAGCAAACAGCACACGGCTAATAGCACGCACACACAGAGGGCTACTCCCATTATTTATGGAGGACAAGAATTTTAGTCTACAGTGTATTTTCAGTTTTAACTAACCCAGTCTGGTTTTAGTTTTTTTAAAAAGAAAAGAATAATGATTTAAAGTTTAAAAGCTCATTCATAGGAACAGTTCTCAAAACCTTCACTTTGGGCAATTTCAGCACCCTACTTTAAATGCTTAGTAGATGATGGAAACAGGTCCCATATGCCACAGGTACTTAAACCAGAAAGACCAGTAGCATCTACTGGCTGAGTCACAGCACAGTTTGACTGCTAAAGTCAACTTAAGGTCTTTTTCTCTTTTCTACAAATGTGCGAGTTCCAGGCAGTGAGCTCCTTGTCTATAGATGGAGCTCCTATTGGGAAGAGCACCCCCTGGACTAGAATGCATCACCCCCAAGTATCCACACCAGGGCAAAAAAAGGTCTTATTTCTTCCCATTTTCCAAACTCCCTAATTCTGCGCCCCTTCACTGTGGCCTCTTACTTTGGGGTACACCACCAATCCTTCGGAAATATTCTGCAGCGTATTCAATATTGTGTCTGCGGTAAGAAATGCCTCGGCCAAACAGATACGTCTAGAAAACAGACAGACAATTCAAGTTATCTCTACAACCAAAAACTTCAGTGACACTCAGGGTGTGTTCCAAAAGGCCTCTCGATTTCTGGTGCCACATACATATATGCATGCACGCACGTGTGTATCTACACATATAGATACAAACATGTGTAAACACAGAGACATGTACATTCCGTGGACAATCTTCAATCTCAAAACTTCCACTGCCCTTAGAGCCTGACCGCCACTCATGTAAGCACCAGATCTTACATTCAACTAGAGTGTCACCTGGTTGACCCTGAAACCAAACTGAATTCAGTCAAGTCACCTCATTCTCCTCATCTCAAACCTGACTGTTCTCTCCCCGTAGCTCCTGCCTCAGAAAACGGGGGAACTGCCCAGTCACCTAGTTCCTTATTCTCATGCTAATCAAGCACGCTGGCCGGGCAATCTGCCTTTAACTTTTTAACCAAATAATTCTTCTGCAAATGACTTGTGACCCGTCTGATAACTCCTCAAGGTGTAACTACCAGAACACACCACAGTGGACATTTACCCATCGACATGATGAATGATACTTCTTTCTAGGGCCAACAAGACATTTAATAACCTAGCTCCTCTAATGATCACGTCTGGTCTAACCTCTGGCCATCATCCACTTTATTCTCCAGGACCATTACAGCTCCCTGAACAGCACTTGCTCTTGCCTTACACAGGCTCCAAATCTCAGCATGTCTTTAGTTTTAAGGCATCACCTCCTCTGTGACCTTGCCCTCACGTCCTAAAGCATCACCCCTTCTCTTCTCCCATCACTCCTTATGTGCCATGATCACAGCGCTCATCACTGTACTGACTTTTCACCTTGGGGACAAGGAAGAAGAGCAGAGATGCTCAAACACATCCTTCTACATCCAGGCCCCCCTCCTCCCAGCCTTTCCCAGCTTGCTGTGGGAACGTCTAATCCACTGACCGGTTGGCACTGTCATCCAGTGTGCGTTCAAACCACTGCACAGACGCTGTCTGCAGAGGGTCCATGACAAGGGTCATCAGATGACGGGCGAGGCTGCAGCAACGCTCGGAGCGCATGGGGTTCCGCTTGTATGGCATTGCACTTGAGCCTGTGCAGTCAAAGGACAAGTGACAAAGCAGAAAGACGTGAGATGACCCCAACTGTGCAGCCGGGAGAGCTGAAACACATACCTGAAAGCCCCCTAAAGCCCCAGTGGTGCTCTAGGTCTCCACCTGACACTCACCGATCTGCTGTTTCTCAAAGGGTTCCTCCAGCTCCTTGAGGTTTGCCAGGAGGCGAATGTCAGTGCAAATCTACGCAAAGCAGAGAAACCGCATCATCCCACTTTCCACACACAGGCTCTGGGAGCAGGGACCAGACAGACAGGCCTCTCTAGCATGGTGCTGCTCAGAAGCTCGTCCCCAAGACTTCTGGAAAGCACCTCCTTCCGACTTCTCTCTCTCTTCCCCAAGAACTGTGAAGCCAAACTCAAGGGTCCTGGTAGTGTCTGTGAAACAGCACTTAAGACAATGGGAGGCAAAAGACAAAGGCCAGACCAGCAAGACGACGCTCAGAACAAGCTGGATTTCGCACAGGCTTTATGGTAACTTTAATAAGAATGCCAAAAATCAGTTTTTCCTTTAAAAACACATTCAGTGGAGAAAAGCTCCATCTAGAGACCACAAATTTCTAAAAACAAAGAAACATAAGTGAAGTTTGAGGCTGATACAATGGGTGTGTGGTGCCAAAGCCCTCCGAACCGCCAGCACTCACCTTGTGCACTGATGCCCCCAAGCTGGCCAGCACAGAGAGCACCTCAATGTCCACCTTCCGTGTGTATGTCTGCCCCGTGATGATGAAAGCCCTGCGAACAAACAGGGAAGACGCCTATGTCAAAATATTTCAGAATATGCCTCCAATGGTATGCAAAGCCACATTGAATCTAGAGGCCCTGACTTAATGTGGTGCAGAGTACACCGTCTCTCCACTCCTTCCCCTAATTACTGAGCAAGGAATAGGCATGCTTCAAAACACTTAAGTCTTGCTTCTGCCTCACAGAAGTGCCCAGAAGGAGCCTGGGGGCCTTTAATGAAACAGATTTCAGTCTGACCCAGAGGCCCTCAGCAAAGAAAACAGAGCCTAGAGCAACATAATTAAGACTATTTTAAAAACTAAGAGGCAAATGATGTTCTCGTTTTCTTTTCCTTTAAATTTTAAGAAAATAGAAGAATCTAGGCTATAGAATAAAGCTCAGGCCAGAGTTGGAAATTAATGCATATAGGAAAAGAGGGTAGGGAAAAACCCACAAAAACCAGCACACAGAAAAGAGCTAAGGTCAAATCTAGAGGAATACTGAGTACAAGCTTCTAGTCACCTTAAGTGGGAGGGCAGCATATCCCCATTCACCCACCTCTTAAATCCTGCCTTTTCTGTCACCATCTTGTCAAGCTGCTCTACCTTGAAAAGAAAAGATAAATCCCTATAGAAACCCAAGGCTACCTAGTGTGGGAAGACGGTGTCTTCCTGCACAGGTTCCTGTCCTTCTGGTGCAAAGACCTTGTCCACCTCTCCTGGGCTCACTCTCACCAGGCCTCCTTTCACATACCTTTTGGTGGTCTCCCTCGAAAAGCTGCAGGAAGCTCGCCTGCGTGCCAGTGGTGCCCTTCACCCCTCGGAAGCGCAGCTCGTCTCGGACGCGCTTCAAGTTCTGGAGGTCCATGCAAAGGTCTTGAATCCACAGACAGCAACGTTTCCCAACTGTGGTCAGCTGTGCAGGTCTGTGAGCAATGGAAAGGGAACATACAGAAATCTCAAAATCCAGGCCTCATTTCATAAACGATATAGTGCTTCTAATAACCACTGTTATCCCAGGTAGGGAAGCAACTTCAGTGAGAGTTGGAGAAACTAATAAATATTTTAAAAGCCGCCAAAATAGTTTACTAAATGGTAGATGAAGAACATCAATCTCATTTACTGATACTTAAAACCTATAAACCGAAAGGCTATAAAGCATAGTGCTTTTGTTCAGGGCTACATCATCAAACCATTACAAAATATGTATTATAGACCCTGGATGAGATGGATTGATACAGTAACTGGGGCAAAGGGGATCCGTGAGTCGGAGTCAGTAAGACTGGCACAGGACGGGGCAGGCTTCAGAGCTGCTGTACATAAGGGTGCTATGAGTTGCAGGCAACTCAACAGCACATAACAACAATCACTTAACTAGTCAAACAACCACTTTTTCTGTACAGGGTACAAAACAGGTAAGGTCCTTGTTCCTGTCCAAGGGAATGCACACTCTTTTGTCAATAAGTAAACACAACAAGTCCTGACCCCATATTGTTGTTGTATACGAGCAAAGACTGCCCATCTTTCTCTCAGGAACGACATTATGTTGTTGTTAGGTTCCATCGACTCAAGTATAACTTACAGTGACCTTATGAACAGATAATCTGAACCCTGTTCTATCCTGTGCCATCCTCATACCTTATGACACGCAAGAGATTTTACCAGCAGTCACCATGTCAAACCACCTGGTTGAGGGGCTTTCTCTCCTTCGCTGACCCTCCACCTTTCCAAGCATCATGTTCATCTCCAAGGAACAGCACCTCCTAGCAATATGTCCTAAGTATATTAGGCAAAGCCTCATCATTCTTGCTCCCAAAGAGCACTCTGGCCCCTCCTGGCAATATGCCCAAAGTATGTGAGGTGAAGCCTCACCCTTCTTGCCTCCAAAGAGCACTCTGGCTGCACCCTCTCCAAGATCCAAGTTCTTCTGGCCATCCATGGGATGTTCAGTGCTCTTCTCCAACACCACAGCTCAAAGGCATCAATTCTTTTCCTGTCACCCTTATTCACTGTTCAGCTCTCAGATGCATAGCAGTAACTGGAAAAAGACTATGGCCTGAATCAGATGTCCCTTAGTCCTCAAACATCATTACTCCTCAATAATTTGGAGAGATCCCTAACTGCAGATTTTCTCGGTGTAATATGTCTCCTCTTTTACTAATAGTACGAAGGGTGTTAATTGTGGATCCAAACAAGATGAAGCTCCTCCATCCATCAAGACCCTGCCCATCAGCCAAATAGTTAAGAATCTTTGTCTTAACACTGAGATGCAATCTATACCGAAGGCTGCGTTCCTTGATCTTCTGCAACAAGTACTTTAAGTCCTCCTCACTTTCAGCAAGCAAAGTTGTGTTATCTGCATAATGCAGGTTACTGATAAATCGTGATGCCACACTCCTCACAGAGTCTAGCTTCTCGGACAATTTGCTCAGGATAAAGACTGAATAGATATAGAAAGAAAATATAATCCTGACACACACCCTTCTCAATTTTAAATACAAGAAATTTGGAGGACAGCTGTCTGGCCAATGGATTGGAAGAGGTCCATATTTGATCAAATTTCTAAGAAAAGGGATCCAACTGAATGTGGAAACTATCGAACAATAACATTAATATCAAAAGCAAGCAAAATACTGGTGAAGATCATTAAAAAATGGCTAGAACAGGACATACACAGGGAACTGCCAAAAGTTCAAGCAGGATTTTTAATAAATCCTGAAATTTCATTTCACCAAGGACATCATTGCTGATGTCAGCTGGATCCTGGCTGAAAGTAAGGAATACCAGAAGAATGTCTATTTGTGCTTTAAACTACGCAAAGGCATTTGACTGTGTGGATCATAAGTTGTGGCTGGCATTGAGAAGAATGGAAATACCAGAGCACTTAATTGTGTTCATGTGGAACCTGTGCGTGGACTAGGAGGCTGTTGTTCAAACGGAGTATGACATTATTAATGGAATAAAATTATTTCATTGTTATATAATCCCCGCCCAGATCCACTTTACTATGCAACTCTTATTCTGGATTCTTGTCATGCAAATATTACCTAGTCATATGATTTTTTTTCCCTTTTATTCAAAGAGGAAAGCAAACTGGGAGGGTGGGTTAGGCAGGGAGGAAAATGTGCAACAATGAATGAATGAAAAAATATTTTTAAAAAGTGTAACTGTTAAGTAAAACATGGAATTGGGAAATTTATGTACAGTATTTTGTCTTTTATATGAGGTATTTAAGTATATGCTGTTTGTTGACATAGTCCTATAAATAAAAGTAATTTTTTAAAATAAAAAAAGAAAAACAATTTCTAAAAATATGTAAGTAAACCAGTATAAAATAAAAATTTTATTTTAAAAAAAATGGGAGTGAAATACAACAAGGATGAGAAGAATGGAAAAGGCCAAGCAAGACTGGCAGTGGAGGGAGAAGTGGGTGAAAAAGCCAAGATCCGAGGACGAGAAGCAAGCCATCTCTTCATGACGGAATCCCAAAAATACATAAAAACAATGATGTATTTCCTAACACAGAAGTTAATGGTTTTGTTTCTAGTTTGAAGTCTTGATCCACTGCAGATTTATTTCTAAATATATGAGTCAGAACCAACTCATAGCTGACCTTCAGTAGGTTTTCATAGGTAGTAAATTAGAATGGGAGGAAATTGTCCAGAAGGCATGTGGTTCAAACCCACCAGCTGCTCCTTGGGAGAAAGATGGGTAATTAGGCTAATGAATACTAACAGATATGGACATCAAGGTGTAACACGATGAATGTCCTTAGTAAACACATCACAAAGCAGTCTAGTCCCAAATCAATCCTTGTACTCTCATGGTATGGTTACTTGGTAAATCTTGCTAATACATTACTCGTGATCGCTGTCACATTGGTTCACAGTGATGCCGAGTATAACAGAACAAAACACTGCCTCATTCTGGACAATCCAAAGATATAGTATTTGCATAAACTTGATCAGTCACACATGTACAACCTCATTTATTGAAAATGTTTTCAGGAAGCAAATCTATAAAGACAGAAAGTCACTTAGTGGTTGCCCAGGGCTGAGAAAGAGGATGAGGGGAAAATCGTCAAGGGTATCAATTCAACTCAGTGCTGCTGAGTCAGAACCCCTTCATAACTGCCCCTTCAGAGGTTTCAGAGGATGGCTCATCTTTCATCCTCTGGAGCAGCTAATGGATTTGAACCACCAGCCTTCAGGTTGGCAAATACCCATGACCACAGGCATGGGGTTATGACACTGTTGTGACATTAGACAGGGATAATTAACACACAACTCTGTAAATACAAAAAACATCACTGAATTCAATTCTTTTAAAAGGATTTTTAAAAATCATATTTAACTTGTATTTCAGCGAAACATTTTTAAAAAAAATTTCACAGACTAACAACCTGAGTCAATGCCTACAAAGCAGCACTATCTTCTGAGTTCCTAGAGTCTGCTACACATGGTGGTCAACATCCCCCCACCCCACCCCACCCCGCCTCTGGCTTTCGCTCCTTGAACACAGGATGCCTCCGCACTCCTGAGCAGGCGCTCACAGCTGGGGCAGGGAGCTACCGCACAGGGGGCTCAGTGCAGGGAAGTCAGCTTGACAAACGCTGTTCACTGCTCACACTACTGAGCACCAGCCCTTTAACAGGCACAGTTTTGCCAGATTTCCACTCCCAGTCAAGGTAAGCTATCAGACTCATGAGAGTGCAAGAGACTCTGAGGCGCTATAAGATAATGTTCACATTGCTGTTAACAACAGACCACCTAAACCTAAGACAGATAAAACATAGTATTCAAATAGCTGCTATTATTAACATGCACACAAATTTTCTATCACCAGCTTTAAGAAAAGGTTTTTATTTGGTAATCATAAAAATACATGTATATTTAAAAAACTTTCTTTTTTAAAAAAAAAAAATTATTCTTAATTTCAATGAAAATTTACAAAGACTTTGGATTTCCATTCATTCATTGTTGCACTTTACTCCCCTCCCAACCCTCTCCCCTAGTATACCCTCTTGGAAAAGTAAAAGAAAAATTCTTTCATTGTAAAAAACTTTATTTTAAAAAAAGGAAGGAAAATAACTGAGCTGCTCCTTGGGGGCAAGTATTTTGATCCTGATCTCACATACTTTGGGCATGCAGTCTATGTAGAAGAACGTCATGCTCAGAAGGGTGGAGGTACAGCACAGGAGAGGAAATCCCCGATGGGACCGATTGACACAGTAACTGGGGTAACAGAGGTAGATGTGTCAGAGACAGTGAGACTGGGCAGGATTCAGCGCTAATGTGCATCAGGCTGCTGTGAGTCTCAAGCAACCTGAAGGCACATAACAGCAACGATTTCATAAACCAGCATCCTCCTTCCAACAGCCCCTTTTAATCCGTGTGCGGGTGGTAGGCTCTTTCTCCACAGCATTAACCTGCCCACACTTGTTATTAATCTCAGCAGCATCAGGTAAAGGCTGTATAATATTCCAATCTGCAGATATAGTTTATCCTATTTAAATATTCTCTTACTATCAGACACTGATCATTTCCAATGTTTACTATGAGGAATAGTACTGTAACAAAGATTACCGTGAATACAGTGTTTCCATCATTTAAATCCCACCTTGGGATTTAATTGCATTTTCAAGAACGATGATCTAAATGTGTATTTTCCAAGGCCCCTAATACATTTTCCCCAGTACTTTCCAAATGAACTGCTAGATTTACTCTCCCACCATTATAGTTTTTAAAGTGTTCTGGTGTCACAGTGAATTTAGCACTGGGCTACAAACCCAAAGGTCAGCGGTCTGAATTCACCAGTCACTCACTCTACAACAGAAAGAGAGGCAGTCTACCCCATAAAGATTTACTAGACCTTAGAAACTCTAGGGGCCAGTTTTCTCTGTCCATACGTTTGCTATGAGCTGGAAGTGACTCGAGTGCAGTGGGTTGGGTTCCCCACACTACAGCTTTTGAGGGGGAATCAGACTCATCATTCTTTATAAGCATTTGTGAAAGTTCCCAAGTTATGAGCTACAATTCTATTCTGGGACATGTCACTTCAAAGGTTACCACACAGATGGAAAGTAAGAAGGCACAGTTGAAAGCCAGATGCACACGAACAAATCTAATCCCCAAGGAGTAATCGTATCACTTACTGGAAATGTGTGAAACCCAAGGTGGGAAGATCAGCTCGCTCCTGAGCGAAGTCGGCGAGCCGGGAGATCACCCTGGCAAGCTGCAGAGACCACAGGGAAAAGGGTGAATGCAGGCTGAGCTTCCTATATGGTCAGTCACTAAACTTCTAAACAACTTTATATTCTTCCTTTCTCTCCTTTTCCGCTGATAGCAGGCTATAAGGTTTCGTTCCACCTGTCTTTCCCCCTCTTCTTTTCTTTTTCAATCTAACACTTTTGCATGGCCCACCTTTTACCAGCTATGGCTCTGTCTTGTTGCCTACAAAATCTTTTTCACCTGTTTTGCTAAAAACAAAACAAAAAAACAAAAATAACAAACCCCGACAATAATAACAAAAAAGGCAGAGGTCATACCTTTTTATCTCTGTGTCTTAACCTAGGAGAATTCACAGCAACCAGAAACTGGCTATCTTCTGAGGTGTAACAATTTCTGCAGGATTTTAAGATTACTAACAAATCCAGGCCGAAAAACAAGAGTACATTCTAAGTATGGCCCATTTGCTTCCTTCATTTAAAAGGCTATCCATTAGCATTTACTTATAGGGATTAATGTATCCAAAGAAAAAAGAGACATGGGACTTATTCTACAAACTGGGTTCAGGCACTGGAGAAGATGGCCACCTATTTAGATGTACGTTCTGCTGACTCCTAATTGGTACCCACTGCCTATCACAGAGACTCGAGAGCCAATAGGAAATTCTGCCAACTCCTTACCTTGGGCAAAAGCAGGTCACATGCATTTCTAAGAATAATCAGGTCCTGCAAAGGAAAATACAATGGTCTTACGTTAAACCACATTGCATAACTCTTCTGGATCCTCCCAATGCGGCTTCCCAGCTAGCAGTTCTCTATCTCACCATTAGCAACTCTCCAGCTCTGGAAGCTAAGCTAACTTACTGGGCTGCTAAACAAAATGTGGGAAGTTCAAATCCAACAGCTGCTCTGTCAGATAAAGATAAAGCAGTCTGCTCCTGCAGAAATTTAGTCTCAGAAATGCTGGGGAAATTCCACTTTGGCCCTTCAGAGAGGTGATGAGTGGAAAGGACTCGACAGCAGAGGGGTTTACCCAAACCCGGAGATAAAGCCAGAAGCTGTTCTGTGTCAGATTATTGCTTTTGGGTTGTGTTTTGTTTTTTAATTTTTTAAATTTTGTGTGTGTATCGTCAAATCGGATCTGACTGGTACTGGAAGAGATTGCCCCTCCTTCTCCAGCAGAACATCCGGTGGATTCGAACCGCGTACTTCTGGGATTGCAGGGCAGCTTCTTGCCACGAGGCCCCCAGAGCTCCCTAGATTATTGTTTTTAAAGCACATGAATGAAGGCACGCGGTTCAAATCCACCAGATTCTCCACTGGAAAAGGAGGCGCAATCTCCTCCTGTGCCAGTCAGATCCAACTCTGAGGGTACATAACAAGGAAATAAAAAAAAAAAATTTTTAAAAAGGAAAAGTACCTGAATGCAGACAGCAGTACACTGGACTCCATAAGGAAGAACACCTTAGACACCCTCACTATCTATTTAACCAACACTTCACAATGACGACCATAGTAACATGCTGATTATTTTGCACATTAACAGACAGATCTGACAGTAATGGACACGGAGGTGCTAGCAAGGAGAGTGTTTTGCTGGCTGTGATGGTTAAAGGTTATGTGTTAACTCAGCTGGGCCAAGGACTCAGTGGTCTGTCACTTATGTAGTGATCTAGTCCTCTTCCATTTTCACTTAAGGGTAATTTTGTACAACTGCGCTGCCAAGGCAAAGGTACAAGGATCAAATCCACCAGCTGGTCCATGGGAGAAAGATGGACAATATCTTCCCACACAATTAACAAATGCAGCTGAGGACCTACTAAGGGTCAGCTACGGGTCGGTTCCAAATCAACAGTATGTAACAATCTGGTCCTTTGGAACCTAATCATGCTATCGAGTGAGGACGTGTATTCACGAAGTCCTGTTCAAGGCATGTCAAGTGAACAAAAGCAGTAGAGGAGTGGAGCCCCATTCCAGGAGGCCAGTGTGCCGGTCAGCAGGCTGGCATCTCTCACGTACAGGCATGTACAGACACGTCTGAAAGCGTCCATTCCTCTGTAGGGGGCTATGCCTCTCTGGCTGCCTGAATCCACCAGTAGCTTAATGGTGTAAGATCTCCTCTCATGCAATTTACAGCCTCGGAAAACTTGGTAGGAGTTGATTCCAACTCAGTGGCAAAGAAGCAGAGATACATTGCTAACAAAGAAAATCCTCCCCAGAAAAAAGCTGGGGAAATTTAAGGCTTCTTTGACAGGACGTAAGGAGCCACGCCAACACATGTCTGCTGTTCTTCAGAAGTCAGTTAGTTCCATTCAGTGATCCTATGCACGACACAAAATAGCACCAGACCCATCGCAATCGCTGCTGTTTAAGCTCACTGCTGCAGCCGCTGTGTCAATGCACCTCCTGTTTCCAAAGCTGTGAACGGCCAACACCGCTCATCTTTCTTCCTGAGTGACCAACTAAAATTCAAACCGCCAGAGATGCATGGCCTCCTGGGTTAACAGTGCAACTCACTTGGACTATGTCACCAGAGCAACCCTCACGTGCTTATCCTCCACCAGCATTCAGTGCCATGGAGCTGGACTTGGGACAGACTGACAGCTGACCCTCCAGAGTCTCCAGAAGCTAAAAATGGCAAGGAGGAGATCAGACATCTTTTGGAAGCAGTAATATTTGTATCCCCTCAATAAAACCCCAAAACCCTTTTTAAAGCCTTCCTGTATGACTTTAGGCATTAAAACCTTGTATATCAATGACTTTGACAGTAACCCTCTTATCTTTTTCATCTAAGAAAGCCAGACTCAATGATCTACTGATATGAAATGTCCAGAAAGGGCAAAACTGTAGATGGAAATGCCAATGGCTGTGTGAGGCAGGGAGGGTGTGTGTGTGAGGCAGGGATGGTATGTGTGAGGCCGGGGCAGCGTGTGTGTACAGGGCTGTGGTGGTGGTGTGTGTGTGAGGCAGGGGTGGTGTATATGACAGTGGTTGTGTGAGGCAGGGCAGTGTGTGTAAGGGGCTGTGTGAGGCAGAAGCGATGTGTGTGAGGCAGGAGCGATGTGTGTGAGGCAAGGGCAGTGTGTGTGAGGCAGGGGTGGTGTATGTGACAGTGGTTGTGTGAAGCAGGGGCGGTGTGTGTGAGGGGCTGTGTGAAGCAGGGGCGGTGTGTGTGAGGGGCTGTGTGAGGCAGAGGCAGTGTGTGTGAGGGGCTGTGTGAGGAAGGGGCGGTGTGTGTGAGGGGCTGTGTGAGGCAGGAGCAGGGTATGTGAGGCAGGGGCGGTGTAAGTGAGGAAAGGGCAGGGTGTGTAAGGGACTGTGTGAGGCAGGAGTGTGTGTGTGTGGGGGGGCTATGTGAGGCAGGACTCTGTGTATGTGTGTGAGGGGCTGTGTGAGACAGAGCTAGGGACTAACTACCCAAGAGCACCCAAGACCTTCCCTGAATGATGGAAGTATTCTAAACCTGGAGTGTGGTGCGGGTCGAACAACAGCACACATTTATTACAACACACCAACAATACATTTAAATTGGGTAAATGTTATGGTAGGTAAAGTAAACTTTGATAAACTACTTTTACAAAATAAGTAATAGCACTTATTTTCTACAGGTGCCGTCAAACAGAAAGCTGTCTTACTACAATGCTTGGCATCAGGAAAATGCTTGCTATTCTTCTTTCATATTTGATGACGAGATACTTTGTCTAATTAAAGGTTTTGTTCAGCAATGACCATAATCTATCTCTCTTTTCACAAGGCACAGCCAAGAAATATAGAGGGCTTTGGAAAGAGCCCTTTGGAAAATTACTTCAACCACTAAAATGCTAAGACTGTGGCTCGCGTCCAGCAGACAAATGCGTAAGCAGTGTCTGCAAGTCTTACTTGATGGCAGTTACTAGGTGCTCTTGGTTTATACTGGAAGGATACCAAGCCTGTGTTCAGCCAAGAAACCCCTAAAGATAAAGCTCTAAGGAACCACTTCCTCACACTTGGCAAGGCCATCTCCACTTTATGAATGTCTTATAAAGAGCGAGTCCAAAGCAGACGTGAACAATCCGGGTTCGTACCGTATTGTCACCAACGTAGCAGGAGGTGGCACCCAGATGAATAATGCCGGCAGCTTTGGGACAGCAGTGGCCAAAGGTGTGCACGTGAGCCATCACGTCATGGCGCAGTCGCTTCTCTTCCTCAGCTGCCATCTGGAAGTCGATGTTGTCCAGGTTCGATCTCATCTCCTGGATTTGGTCATCTGTGATAGGCAAACCCAGTGTCTGCAGAACAGGCAAAACCCCCAAATAACCGGTGTCACAATTAATTGAACTGAAGTAACACGGAGAAAACAATGGTCCATGTTACCAGTTATATCTTTCTTGAAGAACCATGGTAAAGTTACAGTCTAGTAAATTCAAACATACAAAACAGTGTGACCTGATTGTGACTGTGCCCCTATTCCTCTCTCCTTGCTTCACTTCCCCACACTCTTGACTCCCCACTAACTTCCATCTCCTCAAAGGTCTTCGCCCACTTCAGTGTAGAGCCACACTGCCTCCTGTTCTGGGTACCTCTAGCCTCTACCTTGCTTTCATCCAGAGCACTTGTTACCTAACAAGTCTCCACACAGCGGTGTACAGTCCTCTGCTAACGTGGAGGTCTGGGACTGTTTCTACAAAGGTTAAAACCAAACCTGAAATTCCCTGCCCAGGAGTCAACTTCAACTCACAACAGCCCTACAGGATGGAGCAGTACTGTCCACTGGGCTTCCTTCCAAGTCTATGAATAACTACAAAAGCAGACTCTGCCAAGATTTTCTTCCCTGGTGTGGTTGGTGGGTTTGAACAGATGACCTTTGGTTCAAACTGCTCTAACCAGGACAAACCCTAACATTCAACTCTAAAACTCTAACACAAAAGGTGACTGAGAGTGGGAATCTACTCAACTGATCACCACATGCCTCCCCTCCCCTGGGTCCTACTACACACTCTACAAAAGGGCTTAATATCAGTGTCTGGAACTGGGGCCCACGATGGATTTATGCAGAGAAACAAAAAATCAGGAATTCTCTAAGTAGTTCTGACAGAAAACAAACTATGTATAGCAAATTCAGAATGACTTGAAGCAATTCTAAGAGATACTGATAAGAAACACTGTATCCCAACAAGCACATGAAGCAATGTTCAAAGTCCCTAGCTCTAAGAGAGATGCAAATCAGAACAACTATGAGGTATCATCTCACCCCAGTAAGAATAGCAAAATAGAACAGAACAGCAAGCAACAAATGCTTGTGAGGATGTGGAGAAACTGGAACTCTTATTCACTGTTGGTGGGAATGTAAGATGGTGCAACCATTGTGGAAGGTGGTGTGGTACTTTCTCAAAAAATTACAAATAGAGATACCATTTGACCCAGCAATCCCATTACTGGGAATATACCCCAGAGAGGCCATAACTGCCATCCAAGCAGATATATGCACACCCATGTTTATCGCAGCTTTGTTCACAATAGCAAAGAGTTGGAAGCAATCTAAGGGCCCATCAACAAACGAATGGATAGAGAAGCTGTGGTATATCCACACAATGGAATACTACACCACATTGAAAAACAAGGAACTCATGCAATATTATTCAAAGTGGGTGACCCTGGAGGACATTATGCTGAGTGAAATATCTCAGTCACAAAGGGGCAAATACTGCATGATGCCACTGTTGTAGAATGCGTCTGACATCAGGGTTGGGGTATGACAGAAAAAACTGGATAAATTATGTATATTGTATTGAAACAGATGAGGGAAAGAACAGATTAGAAGTGATATATGATTGAGTATTATGGTTAGCACAGGAATCCAGAATTAAGGTTGCATAGAGAAGTGTACTGGGGGGGGGGGGGGGGGAGAAGGGATGTGGGAACTGTATACTAATGAAGGAATTTTTTTTTCTTTTTCTCTCGGAGGGGGGAGCGAGCTGGTGGGGAGGGGTGGGCAGGGAGAAAAGTGCAGCAATGAATGAATGGAAATCCAAAACCTCTGTAAATGTCTATTAAAATTAATAATAATTAAAAAAAAAAGAAAGACTGTATCAACATCTTTCTATACTCATTGTGTATCAAAGGAGAAACTAGGCAGCTGGCAGGCTGGAGTGGGTCCACATCTTATCAGTGAATGACCTGACAGTCACATTTCACCTGCAAATCCTCAAACTCAGTCTCTGCATGTAAGACATGTATTATCCAAAAAGCTGGCCTCATGTGGGTATTTAAATGAATTAAAATTAAATAAAATGGAAAACTCAGTTCTTCAGGAGCTGTAGCTATATTTCAACGGCTTGAGTTCAAGTGCTTGATGGTCACCTGGGGACAGCCAGTCTTGGACAGTTGTTAGGTGTGCTGACTTGAGTACAACTCATAGTGACCCTGTAAACAAGAGATCTGAACCTTGTCCTATCCTGCATCATCTCGATCATCTCTGACACACCTGAGCCTCTTGCCGCAGGCCCTGTGCCAATCCATCTTGTTGTGTCTTCCTCTCTCACACTGAGCCTCCACCTTTCCCACCATGATATCTTTTTCAAGGACCAGTCCCTCCTGACAACATATTCAAAGTAAGGGCGACAAAGTTTTACCATCCTTGCCTCTAAGAAGCACCTTGGCTGCAAACCTCCCAAGGCAGACTGGCTTGTTCTTTTGGCAGTCCATATGATATTCAACACTCTTCTCCAACACAACTCAAAGACATAAATCTTTTTTCTGTCATCGTGACTCACTGTCTAGCTCTCAGATGCATAGCAAGTGACTGAAAAGACCATGTCTTGAATCAGCTACATCTTGATCTTCAACAGACATCACTGCTCTGGGACTTTGGAGAGGTCCACCACAGCAGACTTTCCCAATGCAGGATGTCTCCTGATCGCCTTACTACTGGTACCAAAGGCACTGACTGTAGATCCGAGTAAGGCAAAAACACTGACAACTTCAATCTTTTCTCCATCTTTCATGATGCTGCCTATCGATCCAGTGGTGAGGATTTCTGTCTTAAGGAGATGTAATCCACAGTGAAAGCTGTATTACTTGATCTTGTGCAGGAAGTACTGCAGGTACTCCTCACTTTCAGCCAAGGACAGCATAGGCAGAGAGAAAAAATGCGAGTTATTAACTACTTCCTTTACTTTGGACCACAATCATTACCCATGGTAACAACAGTCAAGAAATGAAGACATGTGAAGAAATTTGTTCTCAAGGACCTCATCAAAGTTCTAAAGAGCTAGGATATCACTTTAAAGCCCAAGGTGCACTTGCTCCATGCCATAGTAATTGCTTCCTATTCATCTGAAAGTTGGACAACAAATAGTGAGAATGACAAAAGAAGGATCAATGTCTTTGAATTGTAGTACTGGAGAAGAGTACTGAATACTCCATGGACTGCCAAAAGAACAAATGGGTATGTCTTGGAACAAGTGCAGCCAGAGTACTCTTGGAGGCAAAGAGGCTGAAGCTTCGTTGTTCACACTCTGGACATACAGGTAGGAAAGGATGGAGGGCCAGAGGAGGAGAGGAAAAGCCCCAAGAAGATGGACTGACATGGTGACTTCAGCAATGAGCTCAAGTGTGTCAGAGAGGATGAGGATGGCACAGGAGAGGGCAGGGTCCAGGTCAGCTGTTCATAGGGTCTCTAGGAGTCGTACTTGACTCAACAGCACCTAACGACAACTAATAATCGAACAGGAAGGCCTGGTGCAAACTGTCAATACTCTTAGTACTAACTGCAAGGCTGCAAGTTTGAATCCATCCAGAGGTACCCAAGAAGGGGGAAATGGCCAGCTACTTCCAGAAAAATCAACACTGAAAAGCCCATGGACACAAAGGTAATATAAACTCACCTCCTTGGCTTGGACTGTGTTATGAGCATTACCAACCAGAAGATGATACCAAGACTGAACATATTTCAGGTAACGTGTAAATTGGTCTATTAGTAGAGTTCTCCAGAGAAATAGAACCAAGGCCTAGATATAGTCACAGGTGATAGACAAATAGAGATAAGGAAGCTTGGAGGCACACTGTCCAAGTGCTTAGCTGCTAACTAAACGGTTGGTGGTTCAAAGCTACCAGGTACTTTTCCAGGGAAGACAGATGTGGTCGTCTGCTTTGACGCATGCTGAGTTGGTGTAAGGTGTAAGGATTTGCACCGCTAACCCAGAGGGAGGAAGAAGGGCGAGCTGCTCCTCCGAACACTCAGCTGAGTCAATTCTAACTCAACAGCAATGAGTCTGGGGTTTTTATGAGTCTGCTTCACAGCCCTGAAAGCCATGTGGGCCAGTGCTACTCTGCACTAAAGGGTCACAATGAGTCACAATCACTAAGTGGCAGTGGGGTTTTATGGGCGGCTGGATGCAACAAAGAGTACACATTCAGGTAGTCCTACTTTCCAATCCTTGGAAATGAGCTCTTGCTGGGAAAGGTAGGGTCATGGATTAAGTGACTCCCACAGTGGGCTGGAGCATGTGAGCGATCCTGAGGATAGTGCAGGAGAAGGCAAGGTGCCCATCAATCTGCTGCTGACAGAGGGGCTATGAGTCAGAAGAACTGATGCCTTGGAGCTGTGGTGTTGGAGGACAGTACCGAATATCCCACGGACTGCCAAAGAACAAACATGTCCAGCTTGGAGAAAGGACAGCCAGAGTGCTGCTTGGAGGCAAGGATGACTAAGCTCTGTCTTACGTATTTTGGGAATGTTGTGAAGAAAGGCTATTCTTTGGAGGACATCATGCTTGGAAAGGTGGAGGAGGCACAACAGGGAGGAAGACCTTCAACGAGATAGATTGACACAGTGACTGCAGCAATGGGCTCAAGTATGTCAGAGACTGTGAGCACGACACAGGATAGGACAGGGTTCAGATCCGTTGTTCGTAGAGTTGTTATGAGTGGTACTCAACTCAGTGGCACCTAACAACAACAACAACAACGACAACATGAATCAGAGGTACTTAATGATATTCCAATCATGGCTTAATGTCACTAACAGCTATGGTGACATTGGCCAAGTTTTACTTAAGTGACAATGCTGTTATCAATAGAATAGAAATAAGATTTTCAAATGAGTCCGAATAGATGCAAGTCTCTCCTAATCCAACAAAGGAATGCCTTCTCCTAGTACCTACTTCTAGTATCCACTTTTGATACCCAAGTCGATTGTTTACTGTATCTCTGTGCCTCCATTCCCCCATGTGTAAAATCAGAATAGAATTTGCACTCAAGGGCTGCTCTGAGGATTAACAAGCTAGTATGTGCAAGGTCTTATAATGGCCTGGTATGCATTCAACGAGCCATCGTCACTGAGGTGGAACTGACCCGTAGCAGACCTGCCAGTGGGGTTCTGTTGTGACGTGCTGTCGAGTTGCCTGCGACCCTATGGGACACCGTGACCCTATGTACAACAGCTCTGAACCCTGCCCTATCGTGAGCCAATCTCATCATCTCTAACATACCTACTTACATTAACCCAGTCAATGACTCAGCCCATCTTATCCAGGGTCTCCCTCTCGAGGGTCAAGGACTACAGCCTTCAATATGGACTGAGGCTCAATGTCAAGAAGACAAAAATTCTCAACACTGGACTAATCGGTAGCATCAGGATGGATGGCGAAGAGATTGAGATTGTTCACAGCTTCAGTTTGCTCGGCTCCACGGTCAACACTCTTGGCACCAGTAGCCAGGAAATAAAAAAACGTATTGCGATGGGAAAGTCTGCGGTTAGGGACCTCTCCAAAATACTCAAGAGCAACAGTGTCTCTCTGAAGACTAAGGTCCGCCTGACAAAGGCTATGGTTTTTGCAATCACTTGTTATGCATCAGAGAGTTGGACAATGACTAGGGAGGACAGAAGGAGAATTGACGTCTTTGAGCTGTGGTGCTGGAGAAGAGTGTTGAATGGACCACGGACTGCCAAGAAAACAAACAGATTCATCGTAGAGAGGATTAAACCAGGCTGCTCCTTGGAGGCAAGGATTCTGGGGCTTCGTCTGACATACTTTGGACATGTAAGGAGAGACAGGTCTTTAGAGAGGGACATCATGCTGGGTAGAGTGGAGGGACAGTGCAGGAGGGGAAGACCCTCTATGAGGTGGATTGATTCAGTGACTGGGGTACTGAATGGGTACTGATGGGTGTGTCAGAGGCAATGAGATTGGCACAGGATAGAGCACGGTTTAGGGCTGTTGTACATAGGGTCGCTATGAGTCGCAAACGATTCGACGGCACATAACAACAGCAACAACAACATGGGTTTTCAGAGGCTGTAAATCACATAGGAGGAGACTTCTCATCTGTCTCCCTTGGAGAACAACTCCTCCGAGATTTGTACCTCCTACTTTGATCTGAACCTCTCAGTTGGCAGCACAATTCTCTATCCACTCAAGCTCCCACCTGGCACCACGTACCTTTCTACTGTGTTTTACTGTTTGATTTCTTGGGCAGTGACAGGGAGGGAGGAACTCTTGGATGAATGTTTTCTGTCTGGGGAGTTTCACGGCTGTAGGAATACATTCAGGTTTCATTTGACTTTGCCATTTGAAGGTCACTGCCATCTTCATTGTGGGATTTTCCTCTGCATGTTCTTTCTTGAGAAGAAATACCATAGTTCTCTGGAACACCTTCCATCTCCTTCCACTCTTCCAGGAAGGGCCTTCTAGACTTCCTTCTGAAACTCAGGTGAGCCCTTACAGGTATTCCTTATACAGTCAATCAAAAGTCTAAAGCCCTAATGGAGAGATGTTTCATGCTGAGCCACTACCTAAAAGGTCAAAGGTTCCAATCCATCGTGGCTTAGGAGAAAGACAGGCAGTCTTCCTGTAAATATTTACAATCTCAAAAACTCAACGGTGTTGCTGAGTCCCAGGCAATGGATTTTGGTTTGGTTTTTAATAGACATCTACCTCTACTTCCCCTCTCCAGGTACATTTATTTTAAAAAATCTAAATGCTGTCAAGTTCGTCCAAGTACAAAATGCCAATTCCAGTCCTGTCACCAACTATCCTGAACCACCTAAGTAGGACATAAAAGTTCAGGGTCTGAACTGAACCCGAGTTCAAATCCCTGCACGACTCTCTCAACAACTGTGTGAAGGAGGGAAAACACCGCGCTGTCGAGGGGCCGTTTTCTCCCTTTCGGACAATGCGGGATAAACACCCCCTAGTCTACAGGCTGGCGGGGTCAAATGACTAAAGACATGCAAAACATAGAGCCCAGTAATTTGTATGCAGCTCTGGGGTTAGCGGTGCAGGCATGGCCGGATGGAGTCCCTGCAACCACAGACCCAACTCCCCGCGCCAGCTCTCAGGGACTGAAACACGGGGGGCAACAGGTGAGGCTCCGGGCGTCCTGCCCGGCCGTCCGGGGGCCGAGCTCCTCGGAGCGGGAACACTGGCCCGAAATAGCCTGGCAGCTGTCACCCCGGCGGCCGTCCCCGGGCGGCGCCACGTGCGGGGCCCCTCCCCTCCCGGCCCTCCATCCCGCGCCCGGTACCTGCTCCGCCTCCGCCAGCCACAGCCACAGCTGCCGCCACGTCCGGAATTTGTACCTGTCGCTGAACACGAAGCACATGTCGGGACTGGCGTAGCGGGACGCCAGCGGCGAGCGGTAGGTGTCGGGGCCACCAGCCGCCGCCACCGGCTCGCCGCGGTCACTCTTTGCCGCCATCGCTCACACGTGACCCCAACAGAGGGCGCCGGGCGAGCGAGGGAGGAAACGGAAGTCGGAGGCCAGCGCGGGGCGGGACTTCCTTCGCGTGGTCCCGCCCATGACTGGCCCTGGGACCTTGAGCTTGCTGAGTTTTTCTGTTTGCAAAACACTAGGTGGTACTTAATAAACTACTTAACCCCTTTGCGCCTCAGTTTCTCCACCTGTGAAACGGTACGGTGAGAATTGTCCCTTAAGAATATTGTGATAGTTCAGCGAATTGCTACGTGGAACATGCTTGGAGAAATACTTAAAGCCTGGTGTGTGTTTGCTGCTGTGATTTATTACCGCCATCCACTCCGCCCTGTTCTTGCAGTCCACCTGGGAATAGACAGAATTTGGGGGAGACACGAAGACCAATAAACTGACGTTCTCGAGCATATCGACCGTGCCCCTTTCCCGAAACTGCAGAGAAAAGGATCCAACAGTCGCTCGCCGGTGAGCGGACAGTGACTCGGCAGCGGAGTGACTTGCTGAGAAGACGTGGTGGAACCTCGCTAGGAACGCGGATCCGGAGACTCCAGATCCCCTCGGCTGGACAATTCCCCGCACACGCCACGCAGGGTCCCTCTTCCCGGTGTGTGGAAGCGGTTCCTGGGCCTCCACCTCCCTCTCAGCCCAGAAAATGTGCCCCGAGGGTCCCCCTGTCCTCTGCTTGGCCAACAATAATAAAATACCGCTCAGGTGGTATGGCGATCTCACTAGAGGTGGATCATTGCCCGGCTTTACAAACGTGTCTGTGGTTAAGTCCTCAGCAGCTAAAACCTACACCACGACTGGGAAAGAAAAATGTAGCGGAAGGCTCTGTGAACACAGTCTTGGAATCCCACGGAGCTGTTCTCTTCTGTCCCCTAGCGTCAGAATTGATTCAATAGCAACAGATAAATCTACATAACAGGGTGGGAGGTCACACAGAATATGTGTGTGTGTGTGTGTGTGTGTGTGTGTGTGTGT